CCTTTGAGGTGGGAGAGGGGCCAACTTCACAGGCTTCAGATGAATTAAAGGGGACATTTCCTAAGTCCTGCTGGAGGCAGATTGCTTCATTTCCTGCCTTGAAGCCGATTAGTTGCTTTTGGGCGACCACAGTGGTCCCCTGGTCCTCTCCTCTGGGTGTGGCCGAAGTAAACGCCGCCAGTTTAATTGACCACTAAGCAGCAGCTCCCGCAGCCCCCGTCCCCCTCTCTTCCCTCAGTGTCTGTCGTGGGTTGGGACACGTAGCTTCAGAACGCCGTCTTTCTTGTGGTAATAACGACCAAGGCGCTTTGGAGCCTACAATTCAGTTTTTGAAGTCGACTCTGCAGACAATTTTCCCCACCCCTAGTGAAATAAATACTGTGAAATACAATGTTCCTCTCCCTAGCTGAGAAACATAATCCGTTTTTCAGTGACTGGTAAGCCTTAGCAAGGACAAATAAAACATAACCATTTGGAGCACATTACATTCTGTTAAAAGACACCGAAACATAACATCCTGAAGTACAAAGTGTTTCCTGGTCAGTTTACCAGCTGTTCATTGAGCATTTACTGTTTGCGGGGTCCTGAGCCAGGTTCTGGGGGACCACAGAAACCCCCAAGCCCTGTCCGCTGGAGTCCCACGCCCGGCCACGCTGAGATCTGGCTGAGGCAAGCGAAGCGCTGCGGAGGCCCTGGAAGAAACGCAGTGAAACTCGAGCTGCCTGGGGTCTTTGGAGAGATACGGCACTGGGGTTAAATGAATCTGCTAATAACACAACAGTTTTGCCTTTAAGCACCATCACTGACAGAAATCTCTGAGATGTACTGCGTCTCGGCTTCATCTGTGTTTGTCTTTTTTGGTGATAGCACAGAGGCATTCTTAGGAACATTAATTTTTAGGTTGGGCTATAATACAGGGTAGCCTTTGGCTCCTCTTTAGAACTTTCTTGTCTCTTTTTAAACTATCCTAGGCTGCTATGCTTTTGCAATTTCGGGGGTTGCTTTTTAGAGCTTTTCTGTCCCTTTCTAGAGTTGCCAACTTTTATTTCTGGCTGCCAGTTTGGCTGCAGGGTGGCAAGCAGCATGCCCTCTCTCTTCAAATTTTTTTTTTTGCCCTGGGGAACTGGAATACAAAATTTGTTGGAATTTACTTAAATGGAGAATCGATAGACCCCGAGGGGGGTGATGGCTTGGAGGCAGCTTCCTTGGGGAAGCCCAGGCACTTTGGAGGCCTGAACACTGCACTGTGTGTGTTGATGGTTAGGAGGCCTCTCTTCCTGGCTTGCTGCTGGGTTTGGGTATGTTCCTTTACCCTCTCCTGCCTCTGTTTCTCAGCCCCACACAGGGTGGGGGACGTGCCACTGTGTTTTTGGAGGAGTCACTGATAAGCAGGGGTCTTCAGTGTGGCTGTTTGCAGGTGTGCATCTGTGCCTTCTGAGCAATTAAGTGTGAACGATATTACAACAGGTGTTTGTGGACCAGAGAGAGTTTTGTGATGGGAGAATAAAACACAAGGAAAGTGAGTGCTCGCTGAAACATTTCTACAAGACTGGATTCTTGAAAATTCGTTTTAGTGAAGTGTTTCAAACATACTGAAAAGTAAAAGTAAAATAAGTGAACACCTGTATTGCCCAACACCCTGTTTCAAAAAACATATTAGCATATTTCCTTATTTGCTTCAGATTTTTTAAATCATAAAATGTCACCAAATATAATTAGAAGTCTTGCATATACCCCTCTTGGATCCTACCCTTTTCTCAACTCCAGATGCAGCCACTATCCTGAAATTAGGGTTGTTTGTTCCCATGCAAGTTTTTATTCTTTCAGTGTATATTTTTGTAGCCCTCAGAGATAAGTAGCATTCTTTTGCATAGATAACTTCATGTAAATAGTACTTGGCTTTTCTCGCTCGCTATTGTATTTGTGAGATTTATTCATCTTGACACCAGTTCATTCATTTTTCACTACTGAACAGCAGTGAGTGACACACTCACTCAAAATTGGCCCGTGGGCCAAATTTGTCCTATTACCAGCTTTTGCACATAAAGTTTTATTGGAATGCAGCATGCCCTGCATTTACAAATTGTCTGTGACTGCTTTGAGCTACAGCGGCTGAGCTGAGTCTTTACAACCGAGACAAAGACCAAATGGCTACCAAACCCTAAAATAGTTATTGTCTGGCCCTTTACAGAAACAGCTAGCCAATCTTGGCTGTAGAATATTTCATTGTACCAATACAACACATTGTATCTATTCTTCTTATAGGTAAACACTTAGACCATTTCAGTTTTTTTTATTTTGCAAATAGTGGCTTCAGTAATCGGTTTTTGTTTGTTCAAGAGTCTCTCTAGAGTATATAGCTGAAAGTGGAATTACTGGGCTGTAAGCTATGTGCACCCTAGACATGACTGGCTAAATTGACCCTCAAGGTGGATCTACCAATGTTCATTCCCACTTATAGTTTATGATATTTTCTCTCCCTCTGCATCCTTGCCAATAATCTGGTATTTTAAGACCTTAGGTTTGGCAAGTCTGATGTATGTAAGTGGCACTTCATTTCCGGTGACAATACTCATTTTTTAAAAGTTTTTAGCCATTTGCTATCCCTCTTATGTGAATTGCCTAATTACATCCTTTGTCCAGTTTTGTATTGAGTTGTCTCTTTCTTTTTGATTTATGAGAGTTCTTTACATATTCTGGCTATTACTCCTTTTCATTAGATGCATTAAAACCAGTATGTGACTTGGTTTTCAAACATGCACGTGTGCACACACACACACACACACACACACACACGACTTTTTTTCCTAGAGAAAGTTTATGAGGTTGAAAGGATCCAAGACTGAAGAAAAAGTAGGTAGATGACAGCAAGGATGATTCAGCACAGTTCTCCCCACCAGCACATTTATATAAGCTTATGACCGCCCCATCTTGGAGCAATTAGAATGCCTTTCCGAGGCTGTCCATTGGAGTGATTGTTACTGACACTTTGGCTGCGTAGACGTGACCAACAAAGTCCCAGGGAAGTTGAAGGCCACCATGGTGGGTTGTGATGGGCACAAGGGTTTAGAAGGCTGCCTTGGACAAAAACCAAATGCAATTTGTGGTTTGGGGTTTCCCCGTTTTGGGTTTGGCTGAAGTCAGACCTCGGTTTCAGCTTGATCAAGTTGAGCCATTCTCTGGCCCACAGCGATTTCCATAATGCAAGCTTCCATTTTCAGGCCAGACTACTTTTGTTTGACTTCCCATTGGTCCATCATCCTCAAAACTGAGAATACTGGCTTCCTCCATCCTTCTACCTTCTCTGACCTTTCACATCAAACTTTCTGAGTGGAATAATTAAAAAAAAAAAAAAAAGAATCATCTGCAGTCCCTGTGGTTTCTGTAGCCCTGTGAAGTTTACCAAGTCCTTGCAGCCATGATCTCTGTGTATTAACAATAGCTCAATGAAGCGTGCAGAGAAGATAGATTGCGACTGCCATCTCGCAGTTGAGGGCTGCAGAGAGACACTGGAGGTGGCGTGCCCCTGGTCCCCAAGCAGCATAGCAATCTTCTGTGCTGGGCCTGGCGTCTGCCCTGCTGCTGTTCCCACCACGTGCAGTACAGGTGCATGCTCGGGTCATCGCCCTGGAAGCAGAGTGACTCCTCTTCCTCCCCACTGTCATTGTTCCTTGCAGGAGGGCCACAGTCCGCAGGACCAAGACACACATAACTAGGGGGACAAGCATAACATTCCCCAAATCTATGCTGCATGCCAGACTTAGTACTGAACATCTCATGGATCTCATTTGATGCTCCGATTAATGCTGTAAGTAGCAAGATCAGCTTCCTGGGCAGGCAGCTGGTGCGGTCAGATAGGGCCAGTATTTAGCTTAGGAGAGCAGCATGCTTGGTTTTATGCTCTGCTCTTGCCGTCTTGAATTTTTTTTTTTTTTTTTTTTGCCATCTTGAATTTTTAAATGGTTTGGAATAGTGGAGCCCACATTTTCAGTTTGCACTGGACCTCGCAAATTACATAGCCAGGCCTGTGCACAGATAAAGCAAGCAAGACTCAGAGAGGTGAACTAATTTGCCCAAGATTACTCAGTTAATAAGTAGCAGAGCTGGGATTGGTGTATTTTCTACTTGGCTGATTCATTTATTGAAAATAGAGCCCTGGAATGAACCTTGTTTGAATTGTAAGGCAAATTGTACTGTAGAAATACACACAATTGCAAGGGAAATTGTACTGTAGAAATACAGATTTTCTGTAGAGTTTTGCTTGTGTGTTCAGTAGTTTTGGGTTGGCCTTGCACTGGCCAGTTGCCACCCTTTTCCTCGGAGAGGAGAGCCCGATTTGTCATCTCTTTTGACGTCTCTAAAAGTACCCAGAACAGGGAACCTTCTGGAAGAGCTACCCAGGAAATGGTCACTGACCAACTGGGTTAATGGCCTTTTTAGATTGCAAAGAAGAAATCAAGACTTCTGAATTCACCTTAGTGGGTCATAAAGAATAAGGGAGGAATTAAAAGGCTGGTCTGTAGTTAGGAGACCAGAAGGCTCCTTCATAGCTCTTGGATCAGATCATGTCATTACTTCCTCAGGGGCAAGGGTCACAGGTCCCCAACTCAGCTACTCCTCTGGCTGTGCTTTTCTCTGTGTGTCTCCTAGGCTGCCAACCGTTCGCTCTTGCCTCCTCTAGGAGACGTCCGTGAGATTCAGGTTTTGCCCCAGACCTGTCGCCTTCATGCTGGCCGGCCTAGGGGTTGACCATTCAGGGTGAGCCACTGACCTCTGGCCGTGTTGGTGTGCTTACAGGGCCCCCGCACGGTGGCTTTGGAGAAGGAGCCTTCAGAATGAGGCAGAGTGAGTCTCATCCTGTCCAGCTTTGGCTGGGCAGTCTCCCGAGATGGGCTTTGAGTCTGCCGTCTCAGAAGATGAGCCCCCTGCTTCCTGAGCAGGACACGACTCAAGAGGACCTGCTGGCCTCCCTGGTGACCTACTCTGTTTTCCCTTCACAGCAGCAAACCCTCTGCTATGCTCCACCGCCCGCTACCACTGCAAGAATGGCCTCTGCATCGACAAGAGCTTCATCTGCGATGGGCAAAATAACTGTCAAGATAACAGTGACGAGGAAAGCTGTGAGAGTTCTCAAGGTAGGAGCTTCTCGTGCTGCAAAAAGATAATTGCAACACAGCACCACAGTAACTGAAAACACTGAAAGGAAGAAAGCAATACCCACACCCACCTCCAAACACAGCAGCTATGTTAGTTTCTTGCACTTGGCCTTGCAGCCCTTATATGGGTAGGTACATGTGTTTACATGGTTTTAAGTATAACGCGCCTACCATTTTGAATTGTGTACTGTTCAAGTATTAAATATCTATATGTTTTCTCTTCAAAATTGTAACGTGCCCCAGCTGCATTACGTACTGTCTTGTTGATCTGCTGTGTTTTTCTACATCGTTGCATTGTTGGGACAATGCCCAGGACGTTTCTTTCCATTGAATTACTTCGTTAGGATTCATTCTGCAGAGTGGGTTGGGGCTACACCTCACTGTGCAGCTGTTTGATTTTTTTTTTTTTTTAGTTTACACTGCTTCTAGCATTATCTATGCCTGGCAGTTTTACTGTAATATCACAGACATTTACTGCTGTTCTATTTTTTCCATTTTTGCTAATTTAGTAGTCATAGAATGACAGCCTCCCAAAATGGTTTAATTTGCATTTCTGTGATTATGAACAGAGTTAACATTTTCCCCTCGTGTTTGTTTACTACGTTGTTTTCTGTTCTGTGAGTTGCCTGCTCGTATCAGGACTCTTGATTTTGGAGCTATTTAGTGGGAATACAGTGGAAAGATGAGCTTTGTTAGGGAACTCAGGAAGGACACAAAAAGCTGACATTTCTTTACTTATTGACTCTTTCAGTAAGCGTGCATTTCTTCAATGATTAGAAAGAAATATGAAGATTTAAAAATGCACATCTATTTTAAGGCATCCTAAAAAGTATATATTTCTAATGTTATAAACAGGTATCATCTGTATATAATCTATACTTTTCTCACTTAATATTATATTGCTGTGACTCACCCATATTATTGCTTGTTGGTAGAATTCATTTGCTTTAACTGTTACTCAATATTCCACTGTATGGAATGTGTAGATGTATTCTACTATTTAAAGATTTAGTAAAACCGTAAAAATAAAAAGCAAGAGAATGATGGTTACCTGGTTAACTCATATGTTGGGAGGTAGGATAGTTGGAGAAGTCTCATGTAGGTAGATGCAGATTATTTTTAAGGTCCTCGCTTTTACTCTGGAGGGTGTTTATGATGTTATTAAAAAGGAATGAATGAATGAACAAATGAGTCGTACATACACCCCAGGTGAGAGTGGGCCACAAACCAAGGATTGTGGTCAATCTAAATCTGTATGCCTGAGGTCTGTAGAAAACAAAAGATAAAAGGTGTATCAGGATAGACTTTGCCAAGTTCGTGCAGAGAAGTCCCTCCAGTGTCTTGGCTGGAATTAGCCTCTGCTTGTCTTTGCCTGGAAAAATCCCCTCCTTGGGTCATCTCTTCACAAGTGATTCTCAAAGCATTACCCTCAGCATCACATGGGAACTCTCTGGAAATGCAGATGCTCGGGCCCCACTCCAGACCGGCTGAATCAGCCAACGAGGGTGGGCCCAGCCATCTGGGTTCTGTATCATAAGCCCCCTGGCCATTCAGATGCACATTAAAGTCTGAGATCCTCTGTTCTATACTAACCTCCTAGAGTTTTTAAACCTTGCAATTTGCCTGGGAATTTCTAAACTTCTCACTGAAGGGAAGGTCTTGTTAGCCTTTACACAAAGTCAAGTTTTTATAAACCGGCCAGGCACGGTGGCTCACGCCTATAATCCTAGCACTCTGGGAGGCCGAGGTGGGCGGATTGCTCGAGGTCAGGAGTTTGAAACCAGCCTGAGCAAGAGCGAGACCCCGTCTCTACTATAAATAGAAAGAAATTAATTGGTCAACTAAAATATATATAGAAAAAATTAGCTGGGCATGGTGGCACATGCCTGTAGTCCCAGCTACTCGGGAGGCTGAGGCAGGAGGATCGCTTGAGCCCAGGAGTTTGAGGTTGCTGTGAGCTAGGCTGACGCCATGGCACTCATTCTAGCCTGGGCGACAAAGCAAGACTCTGTCTCCAAAAAAAAAAAAAGTTTTTATAAACCAAACATCCCAGTGTAGAGCCAAAGAAATATACCAAATGGGAACAACAATTGCAGAGTCAATAAATGTTAGCATAGGTAGGAGGCATGGAGGGAAATTTTCTCTAAAAATTGTTTCTTGTATAGTTTCTTATGTGTTTATGAGTTCTAGACTCACTCATGGTGTCCTGAGATGTTTAGCAAAAGGACTCCCAAGTCCAGGACTTGGAGGTTAGAGATGCTGATGGTTTGGGCCACACCGTCTCTCTGCCTTTCCCTTGCCTATCCCAGTATTTTGCTTACGCAGATTTTCTCTTGCCCTTAAGGAGAACAGCTAGAGCCTCCGTAGGCTGTTTGAAGTTCGTATTTCTAACGTCTGTGCCTTTCTTTCTCTCCATATTCTACTCTCATAAATATGAGGTTTTTGGAAAAAGTCAGTGGTGGACACATACGTACGGAGCCCAGCTCGACAGATGCCTTCCTTGGAATCTCATTTTTGTGCCTCCAGATAAAAAATAAGAAAATAAGCTATATGCATGTGATCCCAGAAAACAAGTTCCATCAGGCAGCTGGTAACATCTGTCAGTTACTGTGGGTATAACAGCCACCCAACGAGGGCACCCATTGTCAAATGCTTGGCTGTTAGCTACCTAAGAACAGGAAATGTACCCATTTTGCTTCTCGAATCCCACCGAACATACCTAGTAGCATAGTGTTCTGCACATAGTGGATTTGGTAAGTGTTGAAGGCCAGAACAGATTTCTTTGTAAGGTGTTATCATTACCCTGCGTTTAATTTGCACCCTACATGGTATTGCACCATCTAGCTTTTTAAGCTATTTGAGTTCAAATATCCACAACCTATTAAAAAAAGAATGATAAGTATTATTGTTGTTGTTTAGATAACATAGAAGGTTCTCTCAATGGGAGTCTGCCTGCAACGAGCATGAGATGGGAGACACAGATCTACTGTTCCCTTGGCCAGTCTGCAGTTCTGCGTCCCTCACGAGGTGTATGCACCTCGGTGCTCTGGGTGTGATTCTGCTGTCTACGGGTGTGCTTTTCTCATGTCGTGTAATCTCCTCCGTATACACTGACTACCTGCTGATTTTGATGCTTGAACAAAGGAACGTCAGTGCACCAGTGCTGTGGGAAGACTGACCTGCGCTGGGCTTTGGGGAGAGGAGATCCGTGCAGGTGTCTTCCTGAGGAATCTCAGAGACATCTTGACTAGACAAAATATTGCCTTATGCCACGTAGGATTTGACGCACTGTCATCTTAATAGTCGCGAATGTTTATCAGGCCTTATAATGCACCAAGTACTCTGCTAAGCACCTCTGAACATGCGCTCATGTCATCAAAGTATGTCCTGTTGGCTTCTCCTGGGCTTCTAGCCCTTGAAAAGTGCATCTTTGTTCTCAGTTGATGGAGGAAAAGAAAATTATATTTTATAGTATTTTTCTTGAGGGAGTGGAGAAAACTGGCCCCAAGACTGGAAATGGTGGTGCTTTGAAATACCCCTCATTTGAATAGGGTTTGAACAAGTGGTTTCTCCACTGTAGGGGAACCAGCTTTGTGTGAGCCTCTCCTCCCTTTCTCTCTTGTCCGGGATTTAGTTCCACTCGTTGTCCTTGGCCTTGACAACCAACAGCATGCTCTGTGAGGGATTTGAATCTCATCTTTGTGCCTTCCCTACCCAAATGACAGCCCCTTAGGAAATAAGCTATATATGCACGTGATCCCAGAAAACAAGTCCCGCCAGGCAGCTGGTAACACCTGTCACGGCAAGAATGGGCCGTGAAAGTGCAGTCAATAAAGCGCCTTTGTATTCCATGTGGGATGTATGAGAGACCAGAGAACGCAGTGGTAGAATCAAATTTTAATTGGGGCTTCATTGATTGGAAACATAACCTGTTTACAAGATAATCCCAAAAGTAATAGCTCTGGAGCAGCCTGTCTGTGCCTTTTCTGTTGCTTAGGAACTTTCTCAGGAAAGGGCTCATCTGAGAGGTGCCCTGAGCAGGTGCTGTCATGCACGTGTTGGGGGTGACCAGCACTCAGGTGGCCTTACGAATGTTCACTCAATGAGGCAGCAGTGTCCAGTGATCCCTACCTACTGGGATTCGTGCGCTGGTATTGTAACAGAGGGGATGGCCTGGGGAAAACGGCAAAAAATATTTTCTGTCTCTTTAAAACATCCTCCACTGCTTTCTGAGAACTAAACTCTGCATCCCTGCCTCAGGTGAGTGGTTGGGAGGGGCAGGGTAAGTCTTTGGTTTATTTGTGCAACAGGAGATGGCCCAGCCGTAAAGGGAGGTCCTGGGCTGAGGTCACGAGATTGTCTTCAGCTGAGATGGATGATCAGAATCATCAAATGTAGTTGAACTGTAATTGCCTGAAGCTGAGAACCCATCCTTTAAAAGCTCTGTGTTTCTGCAAATGTTCAGGAAATTTGGGTTTTGAGACGAGAAAGTCTACCATTTTTCCTTCTCTGCCAGTGAAGTAATAAAATGTCTTTCCTTCCTCCTGAAACCACTTGTCCTCGTTCTTCTGATTTGGCCTCCTGGACAAGTGCTGAGTTTTCAGTAACAGTATAAACCCATCTCTTTGAATGTCATCTAGACCTTGTGACTTACTTTTTTTGTGTGTAGCAAAATGCACATAACCTAAAATTTATTATCGTAACTGCTTTTAAGTTCACTACTGAACTTCCGTTCACTACTGAACGGTTCAGTAGTGTTAAGTACATTCACATTGTCGTGCAACCCATCTCCAAACCCTTTTCATTTTGCAAGTCTGAAACTGTAATATCTCCGTGTTCTCCCTCCCTGCAGTCCTTGGCAATCACCATTCTACTTCTGTCTCCAGTAATGTGATAACTCTGGGTGCCTCACATGAGTGGAATCATACAGTATCTTTTTGTGACTGGCTTATTTCACATATTAGAGTAATGTCCTCAAG